GCAGTTGGTACAATGGTCTTCCTTGTGCTGTTTCGGGGCATATACCACCAGTGGAAAATATTAAAAAAATTATCAGATATGCTCGACACGGAGAAATGCCATTGCATAATCAATCATAGGAGATGTCTTGAAGAATTAGTAATCCCAGAACAGTTTTCAAAAACACTAAAAGAAGAGAAAATTTTTGCTGTATGGACAGTGGAGTGCAGACAGACAGAATTCTAATTTTTTCGACCCTCAGAAATCTGGACTTCATGGCTGAATGTCCGAACTGGTTTGCTGATGGAACTTTTAAAGCAACACCACCGCTTTTCAGTCAGATTTATACAATCCATGGTGTTAAATATGATAATGTGATACCTTCAGTGTATGTATTAATGCCAAACAAACGCGAAGAAACATACAATAGAGTGTTTACGGTGATAAAATCTTTGAAACCGAATCTGCAGCCCAAAACTGTAATGACTGATTTTGAAAAGGCTGCCATAAATGCCTTTAAAAATTCCTTTCCGAATATCATTCAGAGAGGATGTTTTTTTCATTTAAGTCAGTGTGTGTATAGAAAGATTCAGTCTGCAGGTTTGCAAAGTAAATATGAAACTGATCCGAATTTCGTTTTGGAAATCTCTCAACTTGCAGCTTTGGCTTTCGTTCCTACTTCAGATGTCATTGAAGCATTTGAACAATTAATATCATCTACTTATTTTGTAAATAATATGAACATCATTCAACCAATCATAAATTATTTTGAAGACACATGGATTGGTAGATTTACTCGTCGTGGACAACGTCGCAGACCAGTGTTTGACATCCCTCTTTGGAACTGTTATGATGCTGTAAAAGATAAAGTTCCAAGGACAAATAATGCGGTTGAAGGATGGCATCGCAGATTCAACGAACTTATGAACGGATGCCATCCAACAATCTGGAAATTTATTGATTGCTTAAAAAAGGAACAAAATTTTAATTCTATAAAAATTGAACAATACATTGCAGGTCACCATCCACCAGTAAGTAGAAAAGTTTACAGAGATACATCTCTCAGAATTCAAAAGATTATAATGGTCGGCCTATTTTAGACTATTTAAGGGGAATAGCCTACAATTTTCAACTGCAGGTGTAAATTTTTTATACATTAATTAATGAGGATGTTTAATGTCTGATATAATTATACATGTTTTTATTACTACAGCTTTAACATGAGTCGTAATTACATTATATTTTCTGAAAAATATTAGGCGAACTTTTATGCTCTTTAGAGTTGATATTTACAATTATACTAGCTTTCATGAATATATGTGAATGATATTTTACTCCATATAATGTGTTTTATTTAAGCCTCTTTGGTATAATGTGTTTTTATTTAAGCCTCTTTGGTATACACTCTTGGTAGTATAAATCAAATTTTATTTCATCAGAGAAATTATGAACGACAAATGATGATGCCTTGTTCGTTTAAATATCATTTATTAACTGAAACGGTATGCGAAGCTAAAATTTATTGGAGATTTGGTATTAACAATAACGATATTTTTGAAAAATTCCTATCAATTAAAATTTTATTTCGTTTCATTTTTCATTAATTCATGTTTGTGTGAGAAAATGACTTTAGAGTATTTGTTTACAGTGGATAAATTTTTTAGCTTAATAAGCTATCTATATTTTAATAAAATTCAGTAAATTTAATACCATTGTGGATGCATATAAGACGAAATTTTCAATTTCTATTCCTTTCTGAAATCATCCTGATCAGGCAGCTTAATATTAAAGAATATTAAAGTTTAATACGTTTAAGAGTATTTTTTAACTCGTAAAGCAATGGGAGATATATATTTACTTAATTTTATCTCAAATAATAAGATTAGACTTTTAATGGCTTTTCTTGTAACTTACTTTGATATATCAAACTTTATATACGTGGGCACATCTTATATGTAAGCCCCTTTTGTCTTTCTGAAAGATTCTTTAAAAGACAAAACTTTTTCATATATGACACCATTATGTTTTGAGACAATACGGTATTTTATTGCATATTTCTGTATATTTAAAAAGGGGAAAATTTGAAAACTGAAGTAAGAGATTTGCTTTTAAATCCCTAGTAATTTCAATTTTGATCAATACTGATTATATAACGTAATTTTAAAAATAATTTATTATATGACAGTAATGTAAATTTAACGTTAAAAATCCTTATCAGCAGTTTTTCATTTGCTAAATATAAAATAAATGGAAGTTTTATTTGATAAATATGAAAGGTATTTTAGAGAGTTTCATGTTTTTCTGCAATGGGTAACACTATAAATATCGGTCTTTTGCTACAAAAATACATTCTCAAAATATGCTTATGGTTTTCCATGTATAGCTTATTCGAAAATATTTATGAAGCAATATTAAATATTAGTTCTAACTTAGGCGGAAATTTCTGCTATGTTTACAGTTTTCTCGCGCTCCTAATTTTTTAAATGTATACAATGAAGTATTTATTATTTAATTAATTTTTTATAACTGCATTAATAGATGGTACATTATTTGCAAAGTTTTGACATGATATCACCTTTTTTACGAAATGAAGGAAAGTAAAATTATTGTTTATTCTTAAGCTACAAATTTTGAACAAAGGCTGACATATCTACGCTAAATTTTATAATGGTGCCATAAATATTTTTCATTATTCAATAACAACTATAAATTTTTATAATTACTTAAAAATCGTAAAAGAGTGGATTATAAAGCACTGTGTTTAATAAAAATAATATAATATTAAGAATGGCAACTTTGATTAAAATATAGATTCAAAATATTATTTCCTGACGCACTGCAAAATCTGAAAGTAACCACAGTCTATTGTAAACGAATTTTTCAGGATGCACTTTTGGATATAATTTGATCTGAGAAAAAATAAACATTAATACAAGGTGATTATGTAATTCAACAAACAATCTCTATACTGCTTCATAAAATAGATACTTATGATGGGAGTCTTCTTTTATAAAATACTGTGGTTTAATGTTGCAAACGAAGTTTCAGCTTAAGTTTGGAAATTAATATAGAGGGAAAGTTAAAAAGAGTCTTTCAAAACTAACAGGTTAGCATATGAATAGCATTAGGGAAGAATATAAAACACATTTCAGTATACATTCAGTATTTATTTCACAATAAGGAAAAACATTTTTTCACTATATAAATAGCATAAGGAAATACTTTTTCCAGTATATGAATGTAAAAAAACTTTTCAGTATATATCCAGTACTTATTTCAGTATAAAAAAAACCCATTTGAGTATGTAAATAGCATAGGGAAAGAATTTTTCAGCATATGATTCATATATTATATTCATATATTAATATATCGATTTCTTTAATCAACTTTCGATTTCTTTAAAAAAACATTAACATTTAAGAACTAATCAATAGAAAAAATGCAAATAAAACAAAAAGTAAACATATTTAATTAAAATAAAACTTTAACAAACATTCTCTATTCGTAAAAAGCAAATTTAAAGTTAATTAAATTTTAAATTATGAAATTTAATTGCAAACAAATAAATGATTAATTATTGCTGCGAACTAATCTACAATATCATTTAAATTCTGAGAGCATATATAAATTACGTGAAAGTATCAAAAATCCATGAATAAATATATAATTCCAAAAAATTTTTTAATCCTAAAAAAAAAATTTTTTTAAAATGTATAAGTGAATAATTGTTGAGCAGGCAGGAGACAAACTTATCAAGGGAAAGTTGCCTCCAAACCTAACTCTTCAATTATTCAATTCGTGTTTCGTCATCCATGTATTCAGAATTTAAATGATATTGCAGATTAGTTCGCAGCAATAATTAATCATTCATTTGTTTACAATTAAATTTCATAATTTAAAATTTAATTAACTTTAATTTACTTTTTACGAATAGAGAATGTTTTTTAAATTCAAATTTCATTACTTAAATCAATGCGCAAGAGAATTATTTAAATTTAATTTAACTTAAATGTTTATTAAAAGTAAAACTATTATTTAACTAAAATATTTATTCTTTTTAATTAAAATAAAAATGTATTTTTTTATTCACGAGAGAGATGCCTTTGACAAGAATTTTTATGTCTGTTATGGAACTTGAAGGGCATCAAAAGAACTTTTGAAATCTGCACTGAGATTGAACTTATTGAGATCCTGTAGTTTTCAAAGCTTTATTTTTTTATATGTGAAAAGGTTGGTTTGTGTAAAAAGATCTAAAATGAGAAAAGAAGATATATATTTTTTTTTACTTTTCAAACGAAAAATATCAAATGCTCCTCAGCTGACTACCTCCTATCCAACCTTTTTCACATTTTAAATGATTTTTTAAAATTATTTGGATGATTACTCCAGGAACCAAACCTTTTTTAGTAAGATCGGTCAAAAGAGTACGCAATTTGTCTAGTAATTTAATGAAAAAAAAAAAAAAAAAAAAAAAGAAAGAAAGAAAAGAAAAGAAGAGAGAAAGACATGAAAGAAAAATAAGATTATTTACACCAGTTTTTTTTAAAAATAATATTGTAATTATTTAGTAAAATCATATCTTCTTCTATAATGCATACCACATTACATTCATTTTGTTTAAATTGTTAGAAGATATTAAAGTTTTAAGTAAAAATTTCAAATTACCTTTCGAATGCCACTTCCAGATACTTTTACAACAGGTAAACGAGTAAACAAAAAGTTAACATTTCTAGTCTCCTCTCCTGAAAATTAAGCTCAAACTCTATACATAACTGTAAATAAATTAATTAAATGAATATTGTAGAAAAAGTAGAAATCTTCTTCATTAAAATTTTCTGAATTTATGTGTTCATTGATACTGAAAGACTATCAAAAATGCAAATTATGTGTGTCTTTCAAATTGCAAATTCATAGATATGCAAGAAATTCATATTATATTAAATTGTAGGGAGTTATGAAACTAGCATTATTTTCAGTATAAAAACCTACATTCGTTTAAGTCGTAAATTTAAAGACCTACATTCATTTAAGTCAATCAGAGTTTTTACGTCTGCTTTCTAAACATTGTCAATAAAATAAATATAACTCAAATATTTTTATATACAAATCAGAAAAGACCTTACACAAAGATGTAACCAGATAGCCATTATCTATACTGTTTTAATGATTTGAAGCATCATAATATGCATTTTTGTAAGACTCATTTGATAACACTGTAGTTAGCTAGGTCATTAGTGAAACAATCATAGATGACTCAATGCTAAAGAAAAAGATGCAAGAATTCTGAATACAGTTGAGAAAATTCATAATTATCTGATTGTTTTATAATTCTACATTTCCTATGAGCTATAATTTTATTGCAATTCTTACCCATTACAAATTAGGTAATATATTAATCCTAGAAGCATTTGACATTCATTTAAAAGAAATTCAAAAACAATTTAGAGAAACTACTATTTTCTACTTTTATATATGTATTAGTTTTCAATAACAAGAGGATTTTCCCAAAAATTTTGGTCCAGTTTAATGCAAAATTAGAGCACAAAATTTAAATCATATTTTTCGTATCAAAATCATTTTATGATTTTTTTGATGATGAAACTGAAACATTCGAAGTTTATTGCAATAGTTGCCTTCAAGAAGCAAAATGATTGTGTCACAGTATCAATGCGAATTCGTAAATATTACTAAAACGCATTACTATAATATGTAATATAATAAGGACTAGTAAATACGGGCGGCAATATACAAAATAAGGACTTATGTGTAGTCCTCTTAACACGCAATATCACCACTACACTTTACATAAAAATTAGTCATATTTTAACAATAAAACGAAAAAAAAGTTTTTTTTTTTTTTTTTTTAAAGCAATCCAGCACTCAAAAAGGCGTATGATTCAATTTTATACAAATATATAGTATGAATCATAGCCAACATGCTAATTAAGCCTTACGTGAATATTAAAGAAGAACACATATCGAAGTATAAAAAAATGGCTAACTCCATTGAAGTTATAAACTTATATGCACAACATTTTGTTCTTTTTGTTACATGCAGATGCAATAATGAACATCGTATAGTAGAGTTTTTATGGCTGGG